GGGTGGGCTCTGTCGGAGGTTTCCCGGGGGTCTGTAGCTGCAGGTGCCCGTTCCTCGCTGCCGGCTGGTGCCGGGGAACACAGTTGGTCCCGACCCCTGCTCTGCAGCAGGAGCTTTGGCGGAGGAGAAGCAGCAGCAATCTGTGCAGGGGTGAATTGTTATTATTTATTTTTGCTTTCTATCTGTGTAATGGATAAGTGCGGCCGGTAGAAGTGGGGCTGAAGGGTTGGGAAGGGAAGCAAGAGGGTTCAGGACAGAGTGTAGCCGCCGCTGCGATGCTGCAGCCGTTGAGAGCTGCGTGGCTGCTGGCAGGCTGCGAGGCTGCTGCGTGCTGTGCCAGGGCTGCAGCTCCCCAGGCAGAGCTTAGGCCAAGTGGCACCAGGAGGTCCCCGAGCTCCGGGGAGCCGCTGCGGGGGTGGCCGGGCTCGGTCCCCTTCAGCATCCCGGCCGGAGGGGGCTCACGGCGGCCCACGCGTGTCCGTCACGGGTGACTTAGAGGTGCGCGGTGCCGGGTGGGCTCTGTCGGCGGTTTCCCGGGGGTTTGTAGCTGCAGGTGCCCGTCCCTCGCTGCCCGCTGGTGCGGGGGGAACACAGTCGGTGCCGGCAATCCCGACCCCTGCTCTGCAGCGGGAGCTTTGGCGGAGGAGAAGCAGCAATCTGTGCAGGGGTGAATTATTATTATTTTTTTTTCGCTTTCTATCTGTGTAATGGATAAGTGCGGCCGGTAGAAGTGGGGCTGAAGGGTTGGGAAGGGAAGCAAGAGGGTTCAGGACAGAGTGTAGCCGCCGCTGCGATGCTGCAGCCGTTGAGAGCTGCGTGGCTGCTGGCAGGCTGCGAGGCTGCTGCGTGCTGTGCCAGGGCTGCAGCTCCCCAGGCAGTGCTTAGGCCAAGTGGCACCGGGAGGTCCCTCGTCTCTGCCTGGTGTGCTTTTGAGGCTAAATGAAGCTGAATTGAGCTGGACAAAAGCTCTAACGCTCACAAACCTACTGGTGCTTTTGGGGCAAGGGGAGGATGAAGCAAAGGCATGAAATTTGGGGGTCTCATCAGAATGTGGCTCTCTGTTCGGTGCTGGTGCTCCTCTGACTCTATACTTTCTGTTCCCCTTTTCCTATGCCATTCCTGACTCTAACCCTTGGAAGGGAAGAGGGGGGGGACTGTGCTGCTGCCCTTATGGGGGTGGTGGGAAGGTAAGTGGGCAGCGATGGCTCCTGGGAGCCCAAGAATGAATAAAGGGAAGGGCTGATGCTGTGATGGAAAAAGTGGGCTGGGATCCATTTTTGGACTGGAAAATGCATACCAGAGCCGCCTCCTGGACCCAGTGGGTCCATTTGGTCTGAGTCTCATTTGCCTTGAGCCAGCCCTACAAACAAAAGCTAAATTAGCTCTGCTGGGGGTAAGTGTGTGAGGTAGGAGCTAGTGCCAGCATGTATGTGTGGTGCATTGTGGCATGTCTCTTTGGGAAAGGGGATTGGCAACCAAAATACCAGGATTTGGCTCCTGACCCTGCCAAGGGTCAAGAACAAGAGTGCTCTGTCACCATGGCTGCGGACTGGGGAGAATAATCTTGCTGGGAGATCCAGAAAATTATAGGTATAAAGCTGTCCAGAGCTCAGTCTCTCTTCCGTGTTGGGGAATGCACGTTGCATTCCTATGGAGCGCTTGGTATTGAGGTCTTGACTTCGGCCTTCTCATCACTTTTTACAATTACCTCCATTTTAAATATGAGTAAACTGAGGCACATCAAAGGAATGTGTTACAAGGCTAGGATCCTGCGTGATGGCTGGTAGGTACGGTGGAAAGCACAGGTTAGAAGTCCTGATTCCACCTGCACGTCCTGCAAGAAGAGGATGAGCCACTTTGCTGTTTCAGGGGTGCAATTCATCGAAGTCCAGTCATTTATGACTACCAGTTAAGAGGAATTTCCAGCTGCACCCGCAGCCGCACCCTGTCAGTTCTTACGGCTGTACAGCTACATTTTTCATGCCTCATAAATGTTTCTCTCCCTGGTTGCTAAGGGAAAGACCCACACAAACAACTGGGAAAACTGAGTGCTGCAAAGTAAATAAGCTGAGCAAACAAGGAGGTTTTTTTTTTTCCGTCTCTGATCTAGTTGCT